CCGGACGGAAGGACAACAAAGTGATCCTGTCAACCAAGTAGTTATACAGTACGTACTCAATGTTTAGTCCACACCGTTCTAATGACTGAAATTCGCAATTTATTGAACAAAATCAAACAATAAATAAATAATACCAGCTTAAGGTTTATTAACAAGCGTGGTTATTAATAGTACAAAGTAAATTGTAACAAAAGAATTATCAGACAATTGTTGTTACTGTGTTTCCTGAGAGAGAATGCTTTAATAGCTTTTAATCCGAATTCTTTGTGAGTCATCATCAGTCCTAATAATAATAAAATAATCCTATCCTACTAGTACAGGGTAGGCGAACCAATGGCACAATATTTTGGGCACGTCGCTAATCATAAAACATGTGTAAAAAATGATTTAAGTAGGTATTTTATGACGATCGAACGCGAGTGATCCTACGCTACGAAGTAACTGTTTGAAGAAGTTAGCACATGCTATTTTAACAATGTTTTCATCTACCTATGCCTGCGAGTCATTGTTTTCAGAGATGAATAACATTAAAAACTCGTTTAGAAACCGTTTGACAGATGAATCCAGTTCAGCATGCATTTTGCTAAAAGTAGCATCTTACAACCCTAACATAAATTATTTGTTATCAAACCTGCAGCAACAGAAGTCACACTAATTTTACAGTAATCTAATTTATGCGTGTAATAAAAACATTCCAGAATGTGTCTCTTTGGTTTACCTTATTTCATAAAGATTTCTGATAGTATTTATATTATTATCTTATAAATAATCATAAAGTCAAAATTATTTGATGGCATGCCAATGACCCAATTAAAGATTTTTTAGAAAAAATGGCACGTTGATTCATAAAGGTTCGCCTACCCTGTACTAGTATATTGAGGAGTTGGCGAACAAAAAGGTAAGGTTGTATCTTATACAGTTTTTAATTCTCTATCGATCTGTCTTTAATAAGTATTCGTATCTTTTATAGTTTTAGTTTAAAAATCCGTCATGTGATGAATGGTTACAAAATAGCAACAACTTAAAGTTTACACACCGTTATTTGGCCATGTCTCAAAAGTTGGTTTTGTAATTTAGCCGCGTTTTAGCATGGGGACGGCAGTATAAAACTGAATGACATACCTACAGTGAGCTTTTGGCATGGTTTTAATTTATAAATTTAGTAATTTTAACACTGTTTTAGGCTGTAGAAAAAGTAGTTTGACAAATGCTTAATTATATTATTATTATTAATTATACGTTTTGTTTTTTTGTTTGTACAAATGCTTAATCACGCAACAACTACTGAACGTTATAAATGAATTCAAAAAAGCCGCGCTGATGTACCTATATATATGTATATAGACGACCTCCGTGGCCGAGTGGTTTGTACGCCGGGTTTCATGGTGTTGCCGACTCGAGAGGTCCCGGGTTCGAATCTCCGGCGGGGGCAGATGTTTGTGTGATGAATACGAGCATTTATACTCCAGTCATGGATATTTAGTATGTATTTCTATATAAATATACTTATATATGTACAATATATGTATTCTATCCGTTACCTTACAATGCTTACTTTGGCTTTGGGGCAAAGCTAATTGGTGTGAATGTTGGAAATACATATTTATTTATATAAAATATTCAATGAGACATAAATAAATTAATGGTTCCACCTACCCGATTAAATTTATGTTCAAAAACTACCTATAATATGTATGTCAGGATTTATAATAAGCTCCCAGGAAAAATAAGAGGTAAAACAAACAACAAAATATTTATAAAATTATTGAAAGATTTATGAGTAAACAGATGTTTTTATATAGTATACAAGAATATATGAGTGATAAATTATAATTGAATACCTAAAACCGACTATAGCAAATATTTATTATTTTATTCCGATAAAATGACATGTTCCTGAGAGATTATCAAAAAAAAAATAAGTTACCGCTAAGCCGCGGGCTGCAGCTAGCCATATTATAAATGTTTGATTGTATGTTTGTTATTCTATCTCACCAAAACGGCAGGGCATATATGGATGACATTTGGCACACATCATCATCACCCTATTAATGTCCCCACTGCTGGGGCACAGGCCTTCCTTTTGGATGTAATAGGGAGATTTGGCCATGACCCAACACGCGGACCCACTGCGGATTTGCGGGTGCTAACGCCTGCATGGCCTGCACCAACGGCTTAACGTGCCTTACGAAGCACGAAGGAACTCGGTATAGAAGATTTTTGGCCACCCATCCAATGACCGACCACTGCGAAAGTTGCTTAACTTCAAAGATCGCAGCCGAACGCGCTAACCACTTGGCACACATACCTATAGTTTATTAGCTGCAATGCTGAGTTACTTTTTGCTCCAAAAATTTACCATATCGCGGATTCGCGGGCAGAAGCTAGTATTCATACCTATATATGTACTGCCTATTGCTGAAAGAATATGTTCGAAAAAAGCAGCTGATATTGGTCTGGGACAATAAGTATATGTACATAATTGTTTATTGATAGTATTGTTGACGCCGAATTACGCTGTTCAAATAATAAAGATAATTCTTTGATCGTCTTCTTAGACCCGTATTACAAAATGACAACTAAGTCTTGATCTTTACTTGAGTACAGTTAGAAAGGGATGTCGCTATGTGCTATATATAGCGACATCCCTTTCTAACTATGCTCAAGACTAGATCAATCACTGAGAATCTTTCTATAACATGAGCCTTAGTGTATTGTAGGTGTCAGGATTAACCCGCTTCATATAATTAGAGTGAAGCTATTAATAAAGGCTTATGTTGAATAAATAATTTCTGATTCTGATTCTGATTTTTTTCACTTCGGTATTGAAAGTTTTCGGAAGCTTCTAGCAGTTACTAACTCATAGAAAACAATGTTTATTTCAAATGCATTGTTTAGATTGTGTATATTATATATCTGTTACCTAAGCATTTAACTAGATTGATTTATAAATCTAAGGAAAATTAGACTACAAACAATATTTGCATTAAACTGATAGCTGAGCTAGATGTTTTAGCCCGTAATATAGAAAGATTCTCAGTGATTGATCTAGTCTTGAGCATAGTTAGAAAGGGATGTCGCTATATATAGCACATAGCGATATCCCTTTCTAACTGTACTCAATTGAAGATCAACATTTAGTTGTCATTCTGTAATACGGACCTAAATCTATTTTTGTCGTCTCAGACAGTGAGCAACTCATGAACATTGATTCGAGTTTTATAATATCAAGTTTTGGAAGTGATACCTTTTGGTTTACTCATACCAAAAGGAATTAAATTAATCATCGGAGAGATTAAAGAAGCTAATCGGGCACAAAAAGTCTCAGTACCTTAGAATCATAACGCTATTCAAAGGTCAGTAATTATTAAAGCCCGTTAAAAATGTTTCTATTAATGTAGTTTAAATTCCATTAGATAATAAATTTGTTCGTCTTTTGGTGTCGCTTCCTTGTTTTATTATGCCTGATGAGTCAATGTAGAAAATAAAAAAAAATAAGATTTATTTAAAAGGAGTAATTTTATCTGTACGGTGTGTTTTCAAATCATGAAGTTCTTTGTGATAAAGTAGAAAAAAAATACGATTTATTTAAAAGGAGTAATTTTATCTGTATGGTGGGTTTTCAAATCATCAAGTTCTTTGTGATAAAGTAGAAAAAAAATACCATTTATTTAAAAGGAGTAATTTTATCTGTATGGTGGGTTTTCAAATCATCAAGTTCTTTGTGATAAAGTAGAAAAAAAATATGATTTATTTAAAACGAGTAATTTTATCTGTATGGTGGGTTTTCAAATCATCAAGTTCTTTGTGATAAGTAGAAAAAAATACGATTTATTTAAAAGGAGTAATTTTATCTGTACGGTGTGTTTTCAAATCATGAAGTTCTTTGTGATAAAGTAGAAAAAAAATACCATTTATTTAAAAGGAGTAATTTTATCTGTACGGTGTGTTTTCAAATCATGAAGTTATTTGTGATAAATTAGAAAAAAAATACGATTTATTTAAAAGGAGTAATTTTATCTATATGGTGTATTTTCAAATCTTGAAGTTCTTTGTGATAAAGTAGAAAAAAAATACCATTTATTTAAAAGGAGTAATTTTATCTATATAGTGTATTTTCAAATCTTGAAGTTCTTTGTGATAAAGTAGAAAAAAATACCATTTATTTAAAAGGAGTAATTTTATCTGTACGGTGTGTTTTGAAATCATGAAATTCTTTGTGATAAAGTAGAAAATAAATACGATTTAATTAAAAGGAGTTATTTTACTGTATTGTGTGTTTTCAAATCATCAAGTGCTTTGTGATAAAGTAGAAAAAATACCATTTAAATAAAAGGAGTAATTTTATCTGTATTGTGTGTTTTCAAATCATCAAGTGCTTTGTGATAAAGTAGAAAAAATACCATTTAAATAAAAGGAGTAATTTTATCTGTATGGTGTGTTTTCAAATCATGAAGTTCTTTGTAATAAAATTGCTAAAACTGTAAATACTTGTCTAAATAACTATTTATTTAGATCAGTATTTACAGTTTAAGGTAACAGACTGCAACAATCATTATCGAAAAACACTTATCCACATTATCTTATAATGTTTTTTTTTTCACAACTCCAATATTGTTATTATCTCGTCATGAAAAGTAATTCCCAGATATGGATATTATATATTGTATTGTAGGTATTTCTGTTTCTATGTTACTAGTTATATGCATCACCTGATCAACCAATCTAAAAGGTATAACTACAAGTACCTGGGTTATCTGTACTATGTTAAAATTTCAATTGTTACTGCTATCGTATGGAATTATTTTATGTCTAAATTAAACAGGTTCGTACAACTTACTGAATTGTTGATGGATGCATGGATCAAGAATGGATGTAGTCAAAATCACTTTAAATTTATGATGCACCATTATTCTACGAATTCCTCCTCCGAGGTCGTTTTGAGTGTGAGAAATAAAAGATAAAAATATAAGGGGAAACAATATTATTTAATTAATAATCTTCTTTTAACTCTCTTAACATTAGACTTTAAAACTAATTTCAATAAATACCTATACACTTTGGAATTATTTACACAATCATAACAACTAGGAGAGATTGTACAATAGCGGAATGCTACATGGTGAGGTAAAATTAACGACGTGCCTAATATTGCAAATAACGTTTGAGATTCTCACGTCCACTGGTCTCTATTCTAACTAACTAGATCACAGATAAAGTCTGAATACTCGACGGGGGGCTGGAATCACTGTCTTGAGAGCACTGTGATGGGTTTGTAGATGTGAGGAGTTAGGGGGTGGTGTGAAGGCGACGGTAGCTCGGGGCTGGACGCGCCCGACGCCGGGGAGGAAGGCGGCATCAGCGACGACGTCTGGACAAGCGGCGCTTGGCTTAAGAAAGGCGCTTGCATTCGCTCAGCGTACAGCGCTGGCGAGTATGGTAAAGCGGCGTAACCCATAGTCTCAGCGCCGCGGAACGCCGGGTGCAGCGCGTTCGGCGCAACTGGAGGAGTCTTCATCTGCATCGGGGCGTAGCGCTGGTACAACAGCTGCGAGTAGAGACCCACTAGCTGGGAGTACGTCGTAGGAGGATACCCGGCGGGCAGTGGAGCACCGGGGAACAGAGGCCGTTTGAAACAAGCGAGCCGCGACCGCCCGTTCAAAGCCGAGCGCCGTCGCAACTTCCCCGTCGTGCCACCGATGAACACATCTTCGGCTGACGCGTCCAACATCCAATAGTTACCCTTTCCAGGGTCGTCGTAATGCCGGGGCACTTTCACAAAGCACTTGTTCAAGCTGAGGTTGTGCCGGATGGAGTTCTGCCAGCCCTGTCTGTTCTCTCTGTAGTAAGGGAAGTTGGTCATGATGTATTCGTAGATGCCGTTGAGCGTGAGCCGTTTCTCGGGGCTGTTGCGGATCGCCATCATGATCAGAGCGTTGTAACTGTACGCTGGTTTCTCGTGTTTCTTGTCCTTTTTTTCGTCGTTGTCCTTTGGTTTGGAGCAGTCTACAGGTTCGGTGCCGATCACGTCGAGTTCCGAGTCGCTGAGATCCGCTTCCGAGTGCGACGCGCCCGTTGAAGAGGCGGTCGGCGACGGCGGCGGCTTGCTAACCGCGTGGTTCATCAGTATAGAGTTTATACTGAAGTCTCCTTCGAACTTCACCATGTTGTTGTCACTCGTGGCACTGAGTTTTAACGTTTAGAGAGTTTAGAACTGCGGATGCGCGCGTGCGCTGTCACTGCGGCGAGTGGACTGGCGGGCGCGGAGGCGGGCGGCGCGTTTTATACTCGCCTCGTTAGGCCCCGCCTCGTCGGCTCGTTACTCGCGCTCGTTCCAATGGCGAGGCGAGCTTTCCATACATAGGACCACGCCTCTGCTCCCGTAAGCTCCCCGCTCTTCACTCCCTGCTCCCCAGCCCGCGGGGAGCCGACAGCTTTGCTCCCCTCGCGCCGCAGTTTGCCCTGCGCTGCGCCAACGCCGACTTTAGCTTTATTTATCATCACCACATTTCTTTTATTGGCCACGCTATGGCAACAATTATACCACGCTAGTTTTGTACGTGATTGATGGCGTTATCAAACTATTCTAACCGTACCGAATGTTTTAAAGCGTCGTGTAATGTGGTCCGTGCATTGTTTTAGAGTTCTACATTACTTTTTGTGTTTTAATTGCGTTGTACTGAGGTTGTGTAGATTAAACGGGTCTTATTTGGTGGCACCGGTGATGGGTTCGTTAATTGCCTCGATTAGTTATGCAGATTAGTGTCGATTTAGTGGCGCCCCCCGAATGCTCACTGCGATCAATTAAGTAATTCGATAACGCAATTGAAATTCACTTTTTTTTATTAAATAAGGAAAAAATAACGTGGCAATAACGCTTTACCGTGCAAACTTAGTAATTATTCAAATTAATAAATTTATAGTCAAAACAGTGAGAAACTGTATTTCTAACGTTTTAATACCTAGGTGCAAATAAGTATTTAGAACTTTTTTACATTTAGCCGAGCCTCGGTCCGTCTAAGTATAATAATAATATACTCAAGTACTTAACTTTAATTTACTGGACCAAATTGCTGCTTTCTGAATAAGTTCCCGAGGCGTTACTGAGTTATCGACTTTTTTTGTATTTTAATTATGAGTGCAGTGTGGATGGTGACATTTTAACATGGTAGACTTCAAACTCCCTGATTCAAATGCCTTTCAAGGAATCATCACACAATAGGGGTGATGACGGGGTACAGTAAACGAAATTCTATTTAGTCCGTCAGTTAGATGATCAAAAAATAATGGACACGTATTTTTTCTTTGGGCAATCAACCAAAAAATGACAAAGTTATAGCGCGTCAAACTTTGGGAGTAGGGGCTCGTGACGTCACTTTTGAGTGAATTTTCACTTAAAAGTGTACTCAAAAGTGACGTCATGCGACTTTTCAAATGAATATATCTCTGCAATGTTTATATTATGTGAAAAAAGAAAAAATACGTGTCCAACACTTTTTGATAATCTACCTGATAAAGGAAGAAAAAAAATTAGTCATCATTCCTATTAAGAGTAATATAAAAAACATTAGTTTAATGTCATTGCTTTTGTATGATTTTCGTATTCTGTCATTTGAAATTTAATTACAACACTTTGACTGTCGTATTACAAATTTGATTTGATTGTATTTTCTAGCAGTAAAACGTAGCTTATGTGTTAATCCAGGGTGTCGGCTACCTCCATACCAAATTTTATTAAAATCGCTCCAGCCGTTTAGTCGTGAAGAAGTAACAAACATACACACTCACAAACTTTCGCCTTTATAATATTAATGTGATTTAGTACGGTAAATAAAAACACTAAATATAATAACAAAAAATAATCATTTACGTAGTAGCAATCTCGTTAATAACATAAATTGCTATAGGTACTTTGAGTGACCATGAAAGTTTAAAACAATAGGCCTGTTACCATATTATTCCATTTGAACAATACCCAAGTCTTTAATTTAAGCAATAAATATTAATATTATTGTTAACATATGTAAGCAATAAGAATTGGGAATGTTACACACTAACATATCCACATTTACCATGTACCTTGTTTTAAGCGAGTTTCCGATAGAACTCCCGACGAAGTTTTTTATCGAACGCAAAGAAAGAGGAGCTCGATGGCGCAGGTGGTTAGCGCGCTCGGCTGCGATCGTTGTAGTTAAGCAACTTTCGCAGTGGTCGGTCATTGGATGGGTGATCAAAAAAAAATTCTATCTCGAGTTCCTCCGTGCTTCGGAAGGCACGTTAAGCCGTTGGTCCCGGTTGCATCTGCAGTCGTTAGCACCCGCCAATCCGCACTGGGCCCGCGTGGTGGGTCATGGCCCAATCTCCCTATTCCATCCATAGGGAAGGCCTGTGCCCCAGCAGTGGGGACATTAAGAGGCTGATGATAATGATGATGATGAATAAAAGACTTCGTCGGAGGGTAGACCGATATGTCTGCCAATAACAGCCTACCCGCAATTACTTCAGGTACTCCGTGATCTGTTGCAAGCAACAGTGCCGAAAGGAGATTGCTCAAATTGGCCTAAATGCCCAAAAAATTTTGACATACACGGTAATTCTTGGCGTTATTTATAATTTAATTTACAGTCATTAGATTTCAACGGACACCTTTGTATATTATATTTACTTTAAAAAGGATTTTTACTTTTACCGGTTTGGAAAACATACGAATCATTTTTAATGGCTATGGGTGTAGTAACATTCAGCCAAAGACTGATCGAAGTTATTTATATAACATAAAAACAAATCTATTTTGTAAAGATCGATAAAATAAATCATTTTTTTATTACACTGTGGTATTAATATCCACAACTATATTATCATTTTCACTAGATGCAAATGTGCTCAGACAATTATTATAGATGGTAGGCGACATCATAATGTCTATTGCCATACATTTTTCGCCAAACACCTCCATAAAATTATAATCTGTATATATGTTAGACTTTAAGGTATCTATCTATGGGCCTACGTTCCCTGACTATAAAATAATAAATAAATAAAATTATAAGGTGTGATACACTAAAAATCTAAAATATGGTTATTATCTTAAAAACATAACAAAAATAATGAAGCTACTGAATATATGGCTATAGAACCTAAATCTCTTAGCTTTCTTTGGTTAACGAGAGTTTAAAAATCCTCTCTAATCTGTGGCTCATTCACAATCATCACACAGTTTCTGTCACAGAGTACTTTATTATAACCGGAAATGACACCTGATTTTAAAAGTTACTCTTATGCATTAGCTTTAAAAACAGGCAACTATTTGTTAATGTACATGCTCTATATACCTGAATCTAATCCATAATTTCGGTACTTGGCTTGATTTCCCTAGTTTACTATATAACTTATTTGTTTTTTATTATTTTAATATATTTAGTGTATATGGTTTATAGAAGTTCTCAGGGGTGTCCGTCAATAATATTCGTTTCTACAGTAATTTATATATAATTTCGAATCTAGGAAACAATTTTTCATGATTATTGGTCTTTAGGCCAAACATGTATGGAAGCTGAGCAATCTCCTTTCGGAAACTGGCTAAAAAACAAGGTACATGGTAACAATCCCGTTAGCAACATATATTACTTTAATGTTAGTGACCATGAAAGTTTAAAACCTATATATTATCCACATTGGACTGTTTTATTTACGATATTTACCCGAAGTTTTTTTTTGTTATTTTTTCTTTTATATACTTAGAAAAAACGTTTTTTTAGCCCTTTCTTGTGCTACAAAGCATTGCTTTTTGCAAAATTTTATGATTCTAAGTGCAAGTTACACCACAGAGAATTTTAAAATTTTCTATTAACTGGCCTCGCTTGGTTGCTTGGAGTTATTTACACTATGAAATTATGACCTGATTTTGACAATCCTCAAATGCTGCTGTTTAGTGGCTAACCGAAATTTTGACTGAACAGTACCCCTAGCACGAAACAATATCGAATTCGTATAGTTTGCGAGTGCGAAATGTCAATCTCAATTTTTTTATGAAAGCTTAAAAATTAAATTATATTAATAAATTAAACAAATGATGTATAATTTCATAATATGTAATAAAAGGTCATCTCTGAAGTCAAAAATTTGAAAAATTTTCAACTTTTTCAAAGACTCTGTAAATAATAAAAATAAAACATGGAGAAAAAAAACAGCCCTTGCTGAGTTTCTTGCCGGTTCTTCTCAGTGCAAGGTCTCCCGCCGTAGTTTTGCGAACTGATGGCGTAGCTTCTAGACATTCATGAGTGCTTGTAACAGCCTAAACTGAATAAATTATGTTGACTATGATTATGATTGATAAAACTTTTATATTTATATTCTAAATGATGTAATGGAAGGTAACTTCAGACGTATTTCTGAATTCATGTTTCAACTAGACAACTCTGTATATACAGGGTGAAAAAACAGCCCTTGCTGAGTTTCTTGCCGGTTCTTCTCAGTGCAAGGTCTCCTGCCGTAGTTTTGCGAACTGATGGCGTAGCTTCTTGACCTTCACAAGTGCTTGTAACAGCCTAGACTGAATAAATGACTTTTATTTCATTTCATTTCAATTTATTTCATATGAAAATTGGTATTGTATGCAGAAAGTCGATGACAACGATAAAGAGTACCTCGCTCTTAGGCTAAAGGATTGTATCTAAGGCAATGATAGCGACGAGCGTGATCCACGGATATTGATCCCGAACCAAGATCTACACGACCAGGGCCGGACCGTGAGTTTAGGGGGCCCTGGGCTAATACAAAGTGGGGAGTACTTCATTACTCAAAGTATAGAAAAAATGAGACAGTAAACTATTTAATTTAAATTAAAATATATTATGCCTTAGTGTTATACAACGGTTAATAAATGGACAAATTACAAAGCAACCTTTCTGCAAAGTGCAGAAATGGCAATTTTTTTAATTTGCTCTACACATTCTAGGGGTAATATAAATGAAACAATACATTGTTATATTCAACAATGTATTGTTTCTACGAGGAGCTTGATGGCGCAACTGGTTAGCGCGTTCGGCTGCGATCGTTGAAGTTAAGCAACTTTCGCAGTGGTCAGTCATTGGATGGGTGACCAAAAATTTACTATCTCGAGCTCCTCCGTGCTTCGGAAGGCAGGATAAGCCGTTGGTCCCGGTTGCAACTGCAGTCGTTAGCACCCACCAATCCGCACTGGGCCCGCGTGGTGGGTCATGGCCCAATCTCCCTATTCC